ACGGCCTTCCATAATACCTACAGCTGTAGGAGAAGAACATGCTGATGGCCAGTGATTCTTCTGGGCTCTTCTATAACCTTGTGGATGTCTCTAGCTACAACTCGTTTGTACTGCAGTTAACCGTGGACCCCTCCTGGAAAAAGGACTAAACATTAGGAGGCTGTTTTCGGAGGAGCTGGCATCTCTCAACCCTAATATACCTCTGTAAATTAATACTATTTAAATTCACGTCTCACACACTTTATTGCCCTTTGAATGGAACATGTACACTCGTTTTGACCTCGTCAATGTCTGGGATTGGGAGCCGCTGCCTCACACCATCTGCCTCCACCATGCACTGCAAAAAGCGATCAGTTGACTTCACTTTAAAATAATTTAGGAAACCCATTGCCTTGAAATTACCACAACTTAATGTATGTGTAATTACAATTCACTTGGGACTGATTTGATGTCATTTTATTTTATTGATTTCTTTCCAATTGAAAATTGAAGGCCACTAACAAAATTATCAAAAATACAAAACTGTTCAAAACAGACTGCACAAAAACTTTTCTATGAAGAATTGTCAAATCAAGTCAACTCACCCTTATTTATATATAGCACAATACAGATTGTGTCAAAGCTGCGTTCCATTGTTAAACAGGAAAATAATGTCGATAATGCAAACAAAATTCAGTTCTGTTGTAAAGCAGCTCTAAAAAGAGGACAAAAGTAAACAGTCAATATTTCAGTTAAAGTCATTTCATCGTTGATTCATTGATGTAATCATCATCCAGCTCAGTTCAGTTCTCTTCAAATAGTGTTTTTGCAATTAAGTCATTAATATTCCCAAAAAATTAAGTGTCCCCCAATAAGCAAGCCAAAGGCAACAGAAATTGAGAAAAAAACCTTGGGAGAAACCAGGCTCAGTCAAAACCAGCATGGTGTGGTTCATCGTGTTCTTTGCTGAGGTTTTGTGCCGATGGCCGTATAGTTGGTGGGGTCTTCACTGGGGATCTGTCTCTGGGGCTCATAGAGGTCGTCTGTAGGTGCTGATCCACCATCTGATCTGGATACAGACTGGATCTGGTGGCCTCGGAATAAGAACGAAACGGACTAATATTACCATAGAAGCCATTCTTCTCATGATGTAACAAGTACATCGGGTGTTATTGACATTGTTATTGTTAGTGAACACCTTCAGAATGACGTGGCCTTTTTGGGACTCATTTAACAGACACTTCAAACATTACAATTACAACACCTTTTTTTTTTTTTTACAGATTGCAAGACTGTCAAAGTAACTTAAGTAAGTTTGACCACACGAAAGAAGATTGCAAAATGTCCATGAAATAGTCCCGCGCTGACACTTCTGCTTAAGCATGCTCTTAGCGTATGCCCGAAATGATATAAGCCATTAACACAAACTGGCTAACTAGCTAACTCACATGTCCCGATCCCATCCCACCCTCGTATATTTTGTAAATATTCGGTCAGTGTGACATAATGTGCATCCAGTTGGTCTTTATCACAAAATACCCCAATGAGCAAAAGTACGTCCAAAAGACATCTTTTCAAAATCTATGTCCCCGAGGAGCCAGAAAGAAAGTCTTTTTATGTCTTTTTATGACCTCCTCTGAAAGTGGACATATTTTCAGCATCTTATAGGGTCAACCGCAGTCTCATTTAGACATCAATTATACTGCTTCTAGACAAAATGAACACTCTTAGGCTGCATTCAATTAAAAAAACTCCCAGACATAGTGTGTTTGTATAAAAAAAATCAAGAAAGCAAAAGAACCTTCACTTATCATACAGTGGATAACAATTACCAAATAACAAACAATTTAGATTAGTTGGGTCACCTGTTGGAGCTGAATTGGGGGGGAAAAATTCTAATAAATTTTTATTTTTATTTCAACTGCAATTAACAAATTAACCAATTAAAACTCATTCAAAGATGGTACATTATTTATTCATGCAGTAGTCAAGTGTTCACGTACCTGAATAATATCTGCATGCACAATAATGAAAGAGCACACAAAGGGCATCGGTATACAGCAGAGAGCCTGGTGTGGAACTGACTTCTGTCCGGGTAGTCACAACATCTCTGTCTTCATGAACTGCCCTGAAACACAACTGATTATTATAAATATAAATATAGCTTCACAATGCTCATTTCGGCTTCTGCCAGACTGATATTTAGTGTTTAGTGAATAGTTTCAGTTTTTTACAATTATTTTTAATTTATAAGCGCCAAATTTCACAGGCTCGTGTGAGCGTCTGGAATCCACAACAAAGTCTATTTTACTACAAGAACAAACACTTCTTACCAGATAAAGTTTTGAAAATATTAAATATATTATTTCTAAAGGTACGTGTTTAAAATGATCAACAAATTTACCTCAGACTGTAACTTGAACCACCTCATGCGCACAATAACCAACAGGGATATGTAAAATGATGAATTTTAAAGCTTATTAACAGAACAATATGAACCTAAAGTGCAATTTAACATTACATTGACAAAACGATGGCTTTGGCTTAGCACCCATCCGTCTGTCAGATGACCGTTACTGTTTGAATAGTGAAGTGAAGGACAGAGAGAGAAGTGTATTAAATTAGCACCTTATGTTTTGTTATTTTCTTTAATTTAGCACCGCTCATTCTCTTTCTCTCTGTGGTTGGTTTTTCCTTTGTTGTTTTGATTAAGTATAGTTTCTTATGTATAGTTGTAAATAGGCTCATGGGTTAATGTACGATTTGCACTTAGCTTTACATGCTGGGTTGTAAATTCTTCTAACCTGTTAATAAAGCGAACCACTTTTATTTGTGAAACTTCCAGTCTTGTTGGCTTCGGTCATTCCCTGCGTTCCTCATTTATGTGTAAATAGTAGGGGTGTTTGTCTGAGTGGCCTTTATGTGCGTTCCCCTATTTCCCCAGACCGCCACACCACTAGGGGACGTAACAGTCCTCAACGTAGAATAAAATCAATTACATACAGAATCTATAGCGGTGGTATTATTGTCACCACCATATGGACTTTTAGTTGTTTGAGTGCTTTGTCTTCACCTGTAAGGACTGAAATCTAGATCAAACGACAGCGTTTCACTGCTTTAGTCAGACTTCATGACTGCAGCTCCACAGTTGATTACTGAAGCTGTTTTCTTCTTAAACCTTTACTAATATCATAACAAGTATTTCTGTACTTATGTGTTGGATATAACTGTAGAGTTAACCATTCCATTCTAACCATTTTTATGTAAGTTTTTTGATTCTGACAAAATCAATTGTTTTAAACCCATCAGTGTAATTCTTTAGTGACAACCATTTAATATTATGCAATTATACTATAATGAAATATGCAATAATGCAATTATAATGAAATTATAATTTCAGCAAAGAGGAAATCTAATTTTATTTATTGCCCTTATATTCTGTGCAGAAATTGAGATTAAATAAGATGGTTATATACATCATGATACAGATTCAGTTTTAGTTAATAAATTAAAGAGTAGATCTCACTGCTACCACAAACTAAATTATTAGCGTTAATATACTGCATCTGTGCAGCGCGTGATGTAATAAAACTGCAGCTCGTTAATAAACTTTTTTTTTTTTTAAAACCATTTTATACAATCCGCCTTCATTTAGCAAGTGCAGTTCTTCATTCTTTATGGCAAACAAGATAATGTGAATTACAGAATGTACAACATTTCTAAAATGTATCAATTGCTGTGTACAGTGTTTATTATGAGGGGGTAGAATCCACAGCTCAGTACTCACTACTCAATACTCATGAGTACTTTTAAATAGGCTACTCTTTTACTCTTACTCAAGTAGTTTTTTGGACTAGTATTTTTACTCTACTCTCACTACATTTTTTGGAAGGTAATGGTACTTTTACTTGAGTATATTTTTTCAGTACTCTTTCCACCACTGATAACAGCAGATTCTTAATGACTTTGAAATATTCAACAGTTCTTTCAAATCCTTTGTAATATAAAGATGAATATACTTGACTTTATTCATGACTTAGAGTTTAACAAATGCTCAGCAGTTGTTATAATTGCGATCACTTCACACTTGCTTACATTTAGATATAAGCCAGAAGCTTTTGAAAAAAAATATCAGTGGTATTGATAGCTTTGGAAATCTGTGATTTATCCTTTAAATCAATCCATTATCTGACCATTTGAATGTTTTGTTTTTTTCTGAATGTGAATTTGTATTATTATTTTTAGTGTGTGAGCGGGACTTTTATTTTGGTGTGGCGACGTGACGTCATAAGTCTGCGCCACACTCCTGTAGCTGAGATTCTGCTGAAGAAAGGTTTGTTTTTAATCGTTTAAAGTGTTTAAATCAAAATAACTCGCTCTGACAATTATATAGAGAACTGTGAAATGTTTAAATGCTTAATGAATGTAATGTTTCTAACAACAATAATGAACAGTTTTTGTGAGTAAACATGAGTAACAGAAAACGTGCATCTCATTTAAAAACGCTGTTTGCTCGCTGGCGAGTCATGATACACAAATACAGCTTTAAACAAAAAAAGCCTTGATTTCAAGTTGTTAAGATTCTAAATAATTTGCATTCTTTTATTAATTTGCAGTGCTAGTTTTGAGTGCTTTTGTCTAATCAGGTCATTAACTCTGACTCTAACTCCCTTACTAGTGAGCTGACTACTGAACTAGTGCGCTGACTACTGAACTAGTGCGCTGACTGCTGAACTAGTGCGCTGACTACTGAACTAGTGCGCTGACTACTGAACTAGTGCGCTGACTACTGAACTAGTGCACTGACTACTGAACTAGTGCGTTGACTATTGAACTAGACTACTGAACTAGTGCGCTGACTACTGAACTAGTGAGCTGACTAGTGCGCTGACTGCTGAACTAGTGCGCTGACTACTGAACTAGTGCGCTGACTATTGAACTAGGGAGCTGATTGAGATGCACCCAGAGATATAGTTTGGGTTTATTTTTCTTTCTGATCCACGAGACACACAGTTATAAAGATGGAGTTTATTAAAGAGGAGAGTGAAGACGTGAAGATTGAAGAAGCTTTCAAACAAGAAGATGCTGAGGAACAAACAGGTTAGTTTCTTCAGTCGTTCTGTGTCATCAATCTCTTAATCTCTGTTATTTGTCTCGTTATTTTGTCACTTATCAAATGATGATAAACTGTAAATAGCCAAAACAAAACAAGTATTTTTTGTAACATTAAACCCAGTATGTACTTCAGAATTAAAAACAATGAAAATCATTAATTTATATCATTTAGTTTTGCAACAGTATCTACAAGTACACTTGTAAAAAGCTAACTGAATGTGAGTGAGATTTGTTGTCTATAATTGATTTTTATTTTTCAACCTCAAAAATCACTTTATTAATTCAGGGTCTTGTAAACATCACTTTCTTTCCAGACGCACTGATTAAAACTATGGAAGAATATTCAGGGCAGTTTTTAAAAGGAATTGCAAATTGTATTTTCAATTGTGTTTTTTATAAGTGGACGCATAAATGATGACAATCCAAATGTAATTGTAAATCTTGCATTACAGTTAGCATTTTCGCTTTCGCGAACGCACAGTGACTGCCACATTTCAAATGAAAAAGCATTTGCAACTGTATTTCCCATGTCTTACGAGTTATGAGCCGGTCATATTTAAATAGCAATATTAATTACCACATTTGCTTCTTCACTCTCTCTCTGAGTCCTCCTGCATGTAACCTGCCAAATCTCAAATGAAATCGCAATTCCTTTTGCATGTCTACAGAGAAAGCTGTCAATCAATGTGAGGGGCGGGACTATACTAGGGGGCGTGTTTGTATTGGGAGGTGATGTCACTCTCAGAAGATCGTGCCGAATCTTTGATCAATGGAGGTAATCGGTAAAGGCTCCGCTAAAGGCAGCTGCCAATCAGTTCGTGCCTGTGTGAACTAACAGACAACCTTCTTGGCTTCTTTTCTTTAATTCTGTCTTTTTTACCTCAAATGCAACGATATCCGCTGCTAGCAGCTCCCTCCCGCTATATATTCACTCTTTGTTTACCCGCTGTCCGCTTAGAATAATTTTCTTCCCGACCCGACCGTTCCCGCTAAATTTAGATCTCAATTCCAGAATCTCACATTTAAATTTGCACTACTGAAATAGAGAGAGATAGGCTGACAAATAAAAGTGTAGTCTGCAAAAATTGTATGTCATTTTATTCGTCTTGTCAAGAGTCTTGAATTTATTTACTTTGACTTGAATTAATATGAATTATCTTAAGACACGAAATTCATTTAATATTTTATGCAACACAGTAGGAAAAAAGTGTCAGAGAAAATAAAAATGTACAAAAATTGTATCTCTTATTTTTATTCGTCTTGTCAAGATACAATTCGTTTAACATTGACAACACAATAGGGAAAAAGTGTCGCAGAGAGAAAAAAAAAAAGTAGGTTGTACAAAAATAGCCTATTAGCTATTTTTTTTTTCGTCTTTTCAGAATACTAAATTCGTTTGACATTTTTCTGTTAACACAGTAGGAAAAGTGTCGCAGAGAAAAATAAATAAATACGACATCTTTCATTTAAAATTGCAAAATATAAACAAAACCGAGTTGAACGTCCTTCAAGGACAGCGCATCCACACTTGCCTGTTCTGTCTGAGGGCCGTATATTTACCACCGGTACAGCCTGCTCTGAGCATCGTTATGCCATGCTGCGCACAGAACCCGCAAATAAATGTGTGACTGAAAGCATGCGTGCATAACAGTCCGAGTGCAGTCTGTACCGGTGGTCAATATGAATAAAGCGCAGATATGCTGTTCTAAATGGACGTCGGGAACGGGATATTGTTAGACCGCCCGCTCCTGTTCAAATTACACCAGAGTTACCGACCGCTACCGTGTTTTATTCGGGAATTTAATCACGCGGAGAAAAAAATCTGGTCAGGTCCCGCGGGAATGCAGACCTCTAGCTCATAACTCGTAAGACATGGGAAATACAGTTGCAAATGGACTTTGCTTTTCCATTTGAAATGTGGCAGTCACTGCGTTCGCGAAAGCGAAAATGCTAACGGTAATGCAAGAGTTGCAATTGCATTTGGATTATGTCACAATTTATGCGTCCACCTATAGGAAACACAATTGAAAATACAATTTACAATTCCTTTTGAAAACTGCACTGAATATTCTTCCATATAAAACACCTTTACGCCCCCAAATCCAACCTTTTAAAAGGAAATGAGACTGAAAAACATTTCCTCCTTTTGAGAAGGAAATGTAATTAATGCTGTTTTTGTTTGTCACATTTTCCTGTGATGCACATGGAAGCTGACAATATTTAAAACTTGTTCTAGTCTGTTACAGATGAATGGCAGGGTTGAGGTCTGTCTGTAAGTAAGCAGTTCTCCTGGGTCAGTCTGTGGGTTATAGTCTGTTTTCTGGATCCCGCTCGCGCTGAATTTCTCACCGTTGTCTGTTCCTGCAATCTGTGTGTTTCACTCCTGCAGCTCCCACAATGTGGGTCATTCTTGATTTTCTGTGCCTTTCAGACATCATAAAATGTAAAAAATCAAACAGTTTTTAAAATAACTTTTGTGTAATCATGATAGGGAGATGTTAAACATCAGAAAAGCACTGAACAGCAGGAATGGCCAGTGTGTGTTTACTACAGCTTGTAGAGATTTACACAAACGTTAGGGCTAAAGCAGGAGAGACCAGTCCTGCTCCTGTTATTATCAAGTGTTGCTGAACCAGTGCTGCCTTAATGCTGTTCGATTTGAGCGCTGCCTTTGACAGCCTAGATCTTGTAATTTTAATAGAACATCATTGAATATGTAGCCCTTTGGGGTTCATTTATTCATTTATGATATTTTAGGTTTTTGTTTGTCACATTTTCCTGTGAATGGTCACCACAATGTTAATACAGTCTGTAAAACATGTCAGAACTCTGTGAGACACAACAGGGGTATCGATGAGGATGCTTGTTTAAACAAAGCACTCGCATTGATTAAAGAGTGACTGGTTTGTCCACGTATTGTTTTTTCTCTCTCATTTTTTTTCTGTTGTGATGTATTGGGAAGCTAGAATTTGTATCCATCAACAGAAACATGCATTAGCCGAACTCTAACAAACCATATTACAGATGCACTGTCAGATTTAATTTGAACCGCGGTCCTAGTGCATGCCGAACCATGTGTGGAGAACCGTACGGTTCGATTTTTTTACCGAGAACCGTTGCACCCCTAGTATAAACCCACTTCAAACTTTTCTGAACATTTGTCGACTTCTGTTACGTTCTGTCAGTGTTTACTTCATATTCATGGACTATTCATTTGTTTATCTTCAGTTACCTGTTTTCTTTTTTCTAATTCCCTGACACTAAACAATTGTCATGGATATTCATTTAATGAGCACAACTGTCTGTATTTGGTTTGTCATTGTTTAAGTTCCTTAGATTGATTCATTCATTGTCTGGTATTGTTTGTGTCTACCATGCTGTTTTGTATCCTTGTGCTTTTTTTTTTTTTTTTACTTTGTTTAATAAATACATTACAATTTGATCTTTTAAATCTTCGTCACCATCATTGGAGCTAAAATGTTACAGAATACCGGATCTCAAAAGAAAACATGGACATTGCTTCAATTAATATTGCCCCAGTGAGAAGTTTTGCTGGGACTAGAAAAGTTGTGCTTGTTATTTTTCAAGATGACTGCAATATTGAGAAATATCATGGATAACATAAAGGAATATAGAGGAATTTGTTAACATATGCCACCGAGCAAGGTGTGATGACATCACCCTCATTGAGGGTTTCTGGTGTGGGCTAGATGGCGAAATGTCAGATGGGAATACCTGCTGGACACTGAAGGAATACACCAACTTTGCATTGTGGGTAGATGGAGCTTTTTTTAATCTTGGGTGAAGCAGAAGAAGCCCCAACTCGCACCTGTCATGCAGCCAAGTCCAGAGCCCAACTAGTGTACCCCCCGCTATATGGATGTGACGCCAGACCCCAGAGCAGAGAGGGAGCTTATGCTCACCATGGACAATGAGCCAAAGCCAATGCCCGCAACAGAGCCAGAGCCTGCAGCCACCTCTGGCCCAAAGCCCAAGCCCCACAGTGAGTCTGACCAGGTGTGTGAGTCGGCAACATCCTGTGCCACCATGGGAGTTCTTGTGGAGTTTGAGGGAATAGAGGAAGACCCCACCCACACTTCCACCACTGAGGGTGAGCTGTTACTTAACTTTGCTGGTTATTTTGAGGAATTGGATATGGACCTTCTGTTGAATCTCCTGTCCAGTGCTTTAACTCCTGGGTCATCTTCATCAACACCACAGGTTCTGTCCAGCATTAAGCCAGTTTCCTGACCTTGTACCAAGTTTGTGTCATCACTAATCCCTCTCAGCCTCTGTCTCCCACCTCCACTGCAAGATTCAGCATCTCCGTCAAACCTGCCGCCACTGGTTCCCTTCATCCCCTGGTCTTTTCCTGTAATACAATGCTGTGTTGATAAGTCTGGACTCTTCCGGTCTCTAGATTCACCCAGTCAAGATGATTCCATGACTCTGCCTCCAGCTTTTGTGCCCATCATTCCATCCCGACTTGTCGGCTCTGTCTAGGCTCCTCTTTACCTCTGCTCTACCAGAGACCCTCTGCTCCTCTGGCTCCACCTTGGTCAGACATCACCCTGCCTGTGTCATGGCGTTATGAACCTTCAGCTAAGCTTCGTATCTCCACCCTCCCTCTGGCTCTCTCTTGCTCCTCCGTCACAACAGCTCTGCCTCAGTCCTCTGGCACTCTGTCTCCACCTCAGATGCTTGTTGCGGTGGCTCTGCCTTGTTTGCCAAAGCAACTAGTGTTGTTCAGCTCCATCAGCTCTGTCTGCACCTTAGTCCCATCTGCCGATGGTTCCATCTCTGTCAGTCATCCACCGGGTGTCATCAGCCAAGTCTCCACCATGGCTCCTTCCTCTTTCATCTCCCCCGTGGACTTTCTGGCTGCTCTCTGAGTCACCACCTGGCTCCTCTTGCTTCTGGCTCCTCCCACTATCATCACCAACTTGGTTCCTCCCACCATCGTCACTAGTCTCCAGTCCTTGGCCGAGCCCTCATCCACCTCTAGAGCCCCTGCCCTCCCTTCTCAGTTGGATGTGCCTTCCTGGAGGGGGGTGTAATATGTTCTGTCAGTGTTAGTTTCATTCTTTTAAAGGTTTAGTTTGTTTGTCTTCCTTTGTTCTAGTTTCCTGCCACTAATCTGTTGTCCTGGATGTTAACTAAACAAGCACAGCTGTCTGTCGGCGCTGATAGCCTCATGGGCAATGCACTGATATACAGTGCTGTTGCACTTTGGGCATCCCAAGTTCGAGTCTTGGTTCGTGGACCTTTCCGATCCCATTCCCTTATTTCTGTCCCACTTAGCTTCCTGTCAATTTTAAACTCTCTCAAATAAAAAGGTGAAAATGCCAAAAATCTTAAAAATTAGTTTATTTCATTCATTGTCCGGCATTGTTTTGTATCTAATAACTGTTTCATAACCTTGGGTTTTAGCTTTGAGGGAACTATCTTTTTTAGTTGTTTAGTGGATATAGGAACTAGCATACATGTTGTTGGATTTGATGTTTTACATCTTTTTTCACGTCTGTTGCTTTGTGCCATTAAACTGGTGTTAACTTTTTGTTTCTTTTCACCTTAGACCTGATGCCACTGAAAGAGGAGAGTCAAGAACTGAATGAAATGGAAGAGAAAAATCAGTATGAGAAATGCCATGATTTCATGACTGGGGAAACATCTTTGAGTTACTCACAGACTCATGAAACAGAAACTAGGAACCTTGAAGTCCAGAAGAAAGTTCACACTGGAGAGAGCCCGTTCACCTGCCAACAGTGTGGAAAAAGTTTCAGTCGAAAGACAAGCCTTAAAGCCCACATGAGAATTCATACTGGAGAGAAGCCTTTCACCTGTAAACAGTGTAGAAAAAGTTTCTATCAAAAGACTAACCTTAAATTCCACATGAGAATTCATACTGGAGAGAAGCCTTTCACCTGTCAACACTGTGGAAAACATTTCAGTCGAAAAGAAAACCTTAAAGTCCACTTAAAAGTCCATGCTGGAGAGAAGCCATTCATTTGCTTTCAATGTGGAAAGAGATTTACAGAGAAACATAAACTTAATGCCCACTTAAGAGTTCATACTGGAGAGAAACCTCACACCTGCAAACTGTGTGGGAGGAGCTTCTCAATTAAAGGAAGTCTTACAAGTCACATGAGAGTTCACACTGGAGAGAGACCTTTCACCTGCCAACACTGTGGAAAGAGTTTCACTCGAAAAGAGAGCTTTAAAGTCCACTTGAAAATCCACACTGGAGAAAAGCTGTTCATATGTTCTCAGTGTGGAATGAGATTTACACTGAAACATACCCTTAATAGCCACTTGAGAGTTCACACTGGAGAGAAGCCTTACTCCTGCCAACAGTGTGGGAGGAGCTTTGCACTAAAAGCAAATCTTAAAAATCACCTGAGATTTCACACTGGAGAGAGCCCTTTCACCTGCCAACAGTGTGGAAAGAGTTTCACTCGAAAAGAGAGCCTTAAAGTCCACATGAGAATTCATACTGGAGAGAAGCCTTTCACCTGTCAACGGTGTGGAAAAGGTTTCAGTCGAAAAGAGAGCCTTAAAGTCCACTTAACAATCCATGCTGGAGAGAAGCCATTCATTTGTCCTCAGTGTGGAAATAGATTTACACAGAATAAAACGCTTAATGTCCACATGAGAACTCACACTGGAGAGAAGTCTTTCACCTGCAAACTGTGAGAAGAGCTTCACAGGAAAAGAACATTTAATGTCTCACATGGCAATTCACAATGGAGAGAATCCTTTTGTTTGTGATCAGTGTGGAAAGAGTTTCAGATATAAAGAATGCTTTAATCGTCACAAGAGGTTTCACTCAGGAGAGAAATGATTTAGATGTCACAGGTGCCTAATGAGTTTCTCAGACAGGAATGACCTGAAGAATAATGTAAAAATCCACATCATAGAGAAGCCTCACACATGCCCTCACTGTGAAAAGAGTTTAACGAAAAGAGCAAACTGAGAATCACAAGTATTCATAATTCACATTCATATAAGGAAACCTTAGGATTCACATGAGACTTCACACTGGAGAGAAGCCTTACAAGTGTCCTCAGTTTCACATATCACACAGAACTGAAACAGCATTTGCAAACTCACTCTGGAAAGAAATGCTGATTTCCACAGTGTAATGATGTTTAGAAAAAGGAAAGATTTCACTCTGGAGAAAGACGATTCACTGTAATAAAAACATCACACTTACACATACATATGAAAAACCATGTAAATGTCAAACCCTGTTTGTGTGTATCTTTTAGAAATCAGTGCTACTTTCACACCACAGCTGAAAGTGAGCTTCATCTGATTCAAATGTATGTATTATTTTGTATTTGTATTATTATATGTTTTTTTATATCTGTTTCCTTTTTATTCTTCATTTGACCATCTTCTTTGCTATAGTTTCAAATGTTAAGACTATATGTAGACTATGTAGAGGTCTCCATGTCATATATGTTTGATGATCACTTTATTTCATATCAATACTTCTTTTGCTATTTTCTGTTTCTTCTTCGCCTGTGTTTTAATATGTAGATTCTGTACTCTTTTAGAAGATCCACAATAGCACCCCCTACCGTATAACATGAAAACATAGATTGGCAGAAATTTCTATCAATGGTGTGGAAGCGTTGCGTCACAAATGAAGGAAAATGTATGAATTTTCCTATCATTTCATCCCTCAGGCTTATAAATAGCAACAACAACAAATGCAATTTTTGATGCATTATGATTATATGAATATTATGATTATTCAAAGATATTTAATCCTTTTTTTCTGAGTATATAATCTCATACTATGATGTGCGCAAACCCTTTATAGTTATGTTTTCTGTTTTTTTGTCATTATGATTGTTCATTATTAAAGATACAACCATCTTTCCCTGAGTTTGCATGTAATTATAAGTTCTGCAGACAAAATAACAAGAACATAGGAAGGACAGGTGCACTAACACCTCTTAGCATCAGTAACTCAAACCCTATCTAGTACGTTTTCCTCCATGTTTGCAATGTTTGTAATATCTGCACAAAGGAGGCGTCGATCAGCTGCTCTAAGATCTCGAAGACTGTTGATTTTATACTGGAAAAATGGAAGTATTACTACTTAAAAATTAAGATTACCTCAGAATGCATTGTTAGCCTACCCCAACACTTATGAACAATAATAATGATAAATGCTGACCAATAATTAAATTAATACCATATGCAATAGCTATGCATGACTACACACTAGACAAATGCAGCCAAGGCGAATACATCTAAATTTTCAGTCAAGTAATGAATTATTGCATAAGTTAATGAAACAATTATATTTTATTTACTGACAATAACAGGAAACATGAATGAGTAAAAGAATAAATAAAAGTAACATTTCAAAAAATAAATACAAGACAACAACACATGAAACAAAGCTTTATTCAAACTTATTATAACAATTAGGGAGATCGCTTCCTGTTAGGGATGGCTTCCTGTTCCTGTCTGCGTGCTGCAGAGTGCGTTTGTAGCTCCATGTAGCTTTATTTATCTGTTGAAATTTCTCTTACTAGCACCCTCTGTTGTTTAAATCGCTAAAATATAAATTTATTCTCACCATATTTCTGATTTGATCACCAAACTAGTTTGAGAACATCCGCCTTTAATCTTTTATTCTGAACTGCGAGCGCTGCACGTTAGCATTCCGTTAGCCTATTAGCTTGTCAATCGCATCTCCGTTCGGGTTTCCTACCACTTCTTTTTCAGTCTGTCTTGCTCTGTTTCTTTTCTCTCATGTTCCGTTTTTTCATGAGTCCATCAACAACTTTGGTGAGTCGGAATTATTCTACAATCACGGTGAGTAATGGCTTCAACTTGCATTGTCACCTGCAACGCATGCCACATGTATAGTTTATCTCTCTCTGTCGGCGACGAGGGACTCACATGAGATAAATGCAGGGAAATAGTTAGGCTGACAGAGAAGATTTCAGAATTAGAGACACGCATCCAAACTTTAATTGAGGACAGTAAGAATGTGAGGGCTGTATATACGGCTTTGAATGCGACTAGCTCAGGGAGTCCTGTACATTGTTCGGTTCCGGTAACAGAGCCTCTGCAGCAGGGCGACTGGGTGACTGTGAGGCGGCATAGTCGCGAGTCAAAACACCGCTCTACCGTTCCGATCAAAACATCAAACAGGTTCTCCCCACTCAGTGACGCACCCACTGAGAAACCTGATCAAAGTGCTCTAGTTATTGGCGATTCTATTGTACGGAACGTGAAAATAGAGACACCAGCAGACACACTCTGTCAGTTTAAATCTAGATTAAAGACCCATCTCTTTAACCTGACTTACACATAACACACTATCACATTTCTAATATTCAAATCAGTTAAAGGATTGTTAGGCTGCATTAATTAGGTCAACCGGAACCGGGAACTCTTCCAATAACACACAATGTACTTGTTACATCGTAAGAAAAATGGCATCTATGCTAATATTAGTCTGTTTCTTTCTTATTCCAAGGTCACTGTAGCCACCAGATTCAGTCTGTATCCAGCCCAGATGGTGGATCAACACCTAGAAAGGACCTCTACAGCCCTGAATCTCAGTGGAGACCAGGACAACTAGATGAGCCCCAGAGACAGATCCCCAGTGAAGACCTCATCTCCATCGGGACAAAACCACGGGAACCAGATGAGTCCTCTGCACAATCTAATTTTACTGCAGCATGGATCAACCTGCTGGTTCGTCTGGCCGGAGGAGAACTGGCCCCCGACTGAGCCTGGTTTCTCCCAAGATTTTTCTCCATTCTGTCACCGATGGAGTTTAGGTTCCTTGCCGCTGTCGCCTCTGGCTTGCTTAGTTGGGGACACTTAATTTCCAGCGATATCGTCGACTTGATTGCACAGATACTGTTTAAACTGAACCGAGCTGGATGATGACATCACTGAATTCAATGATGAACTGCCTTTAACTGAAAAATGTGTTTACTATTGTCCTTTTGCATTGACACACTATTTTCCTGTTTAACACTGTAAAGCTGCTTTGACACAATCTATATTGTTAAAAGCGCTATATAAATAAAGGTGACTTGACTTGCCTAAAAGAGAATGTGTAGGCAAGTTAATGTTTTAAAATGCCTTGTTACTGTGCTAAAAAAATAGTGTTTTCACTATACTTTGGATATTAATCTGTTGGAGAGCTGATAGTTATGACTGTTCAATCAATCATTGGCCAATTCATTTAATCAGCCATAAAACGGTGATTCTGTCAAAATTCCCTATAAATATAATAATTCCTTTTGAGTTAAATTTATGTCTTTTTGCCTTACAAGCCATTACTGTTACATACAGAAGTGATAGTCATCAGAGAACTGTTAAACAATTATGCTGTCAAACTTACACACACACACACAAACACACACTCTGAAGGGTCTGAGTAGTTTGGTTTTAATCCTCGTTTTCGCAGTTATTCAAACATTACACATTCAAATTAAATGAGCAATTATGGTCCAGGCACCAAAGATGCATATAACCACATATTCATTTTGATTATTCGTCGTCGTCGTCGTCTTCTCCATCTCCATCTCCTTCATCATCCTCTTCGCCATCATCATCATCATCATCTTCAAATGATAAGAATAACTGGTCAGAAAGCATGCTTTTATGCCCTTGGCTTGCATTGAGCATTCAGAATATATAGAAAGATTAATACATTTTCTTAAACCACTACTTTTTGACATATGTGTTTCATTTATTTATTACCTTCTGTAATCTTCTTCAGCACATGGTCTGCAATGTCCTCAACTCCTTTTGGTTTAAAAAAATAATAATTAAATAACACCGTAAGATCATTTGTTATTTTAAGCTTATGTTACATATTAATGTCTATCTATTTATATCTACCTATCAATCTACATTACAGTACATTTACATTTAGTCTATATATATATATATATTGAACAATAGAATATCTATCTAAGTTCTTTCAGTAATTTCGTATAACATTTTTTTTTATTCTATAAAGCTGGCACAGGCAGACTACTATTTGCAACAACATTTGTATTTCTACAATTGATCATCAGCATTAATGTTTAGGTCATTTCCACGCTTGAATGGCATGGCATGTGCCTTTGTAAATGACTCATTTGTTGATGTCTTGAATCTTAACAAAGGTCTAAGAAGCTCCTCTTGTTAATTGCTTTGGGGAGGTAGCAACCAAATGTATTACCTTCCCTGACCAATTCCTTTAAGTGTCTAATCAGCCGCCTCTTGTTCATCTCCTTCAGGGCGCGAAGTGTGATCGTCAGAGCGTCTTCGTGACCATGATGCTCTATCATCAAGCGTGCCGTGTCATGTACACTGGCAGGTCTCAGATGAAAGGGGGGAATTTGCTGATGTTTTTCGACATGCCGCTTAAAGACATGTAGGTGCTGAGGTCCAAGCTTATGAAGTACGGTGTGAAGTACTGTATATACCATTGTATTTCACTTGTTCACTTCTGTTGAACAAGATTGAAAGGATTTTAACTCATTTTACAGTTACTGTGGATCTACACACTGAAATGCTGTTTGCATTATGAAATGATGACGTAATCCAATCAATGATTAGTCTGACCAGGTGTTTAAATGCATACATCATGTGACAATGAGGTCCTCGGGCAGCATGTTTCATACAAATCAAATATCTATATATTTGTATTTTCAGGGCTAGAACAGGGATTTAGCTATCAGCATGGTGTTTTTTTTTTTTACTAAAACCATTTTATTTTTTAACCAGGTTTATTAAAAATATATATATTTTTTCATGTTTATAATTACTTTAATGTTAGTTTGTGGAACATAGAAGAAGATTTGAGACATCGTTATTAATACATTGCAACTAAATATAATGAATGTATTACAAAACTGAGAACCTCTTAAGAGAAACATTTGTTATCCAAATAGCTCTATGTACATATATTATATACAGTGTTTAATAATAGTTGAAGCTACAGGTAAAGCATCAACAATTATTCTAACAATTATATGCAAATGAATTGGAATGGAATTTCTATGCTTTATTAAAGTGACAAAATTACATACAACACTTTAACCATATTATCATTGAGTGAGAGAGTGTGTTGCAAATTATCTGCAAATTGGATACTGGATAAGCAAAAACAAACAAAAAAATTATTTGTCAGTAGAGACTCTATTATTTTAAGCGATTAATATCTGGGCACAAAGAGAATAATGACAACATATTAAACTAGTATTCACATATAAATGAATGAATGAATGAAGAGATGGGTTTCTATCAT